CGTGGGCAGTCATGTCCCTGAGGCCACATTTAGAACAGCATATCTTTATGCCAGAAATTTGAGCCTGAGATTACTATATTGTGATCTTATGATCAAACCTAACAAGACAAAGGCATGGCCAAGTGGGGCTGCTTTTAATATCTCAGAGTCAGCTGCGGGGATCCAATTATTTTCAGTTTGGATACATTTCTCCTTTATCAATATCTCTGTGTGCATAAATAAGATGAAAGTGGCCCTGCAGAATCAAAGACAAGTGGCACTCCTCTTGCCGGGCAGACTGCTTGGGTCTGGAAGTGTGTGGCCAGTCTTCTCCCACGCAGGTTTCTGATGTGGGCCCTGATCTTCCTATCGGTGGCCAGAGACAAGAAGGGAGTTTAGGCAGGGAGATGAAGTTACAAATAACGAAAGAGGGGTGGGGAGGATGCCCAAAACAGGAAGAGGACGGACGAGTATCAAACCCACCAATGTTCCCTTCCAAGTGGCATCAAAGTGGTAATAGGTGATTTTGCCTGTGCTCAGAGTTTCTCTCATGAGCTAGCTGTTCCGGAATTGAAAACACAGTTTGGCATTCCAACTTCCTTTGATTTCCCAGCCCAAGCCAGCAGGTGCCAAGCACCGCATAAATAGGTTACTTGCACTAAAATGTAAATAGCATGGTCCCCGCTGACCCTCCCAGGCCAGATGCCATCAGGGAGACAAAGATAGGAAGCTAGCCAAGTGGGGACAGCTACACCACCAAGCCTCCTGGCTTCTGTCCAGAGGGCTCTCTGCCTCGTTCCATTAGGAAGTCACCTTCATGATCCGTGTCTGCATGAGAGGGCGTGGCAAAGAAGGGGGACAGGTCAGCATGGTGCAGACTAGCCCTGGAAACATGGACTCGGGGACAGGAGTCACAGAGGTTTGCTGCACCAGCTCTGCTGTACTGCAGAATCCCAAGCCTCACTTCATTCAGGGGAGGAGCCAGGTGGTGTGGACGCAACATGAACATCTGACAACTGAGTGCCAGGTGACCGTGTTGTGTGCTGTGCATGGCATCAGCAGTCACCTGACTCGTAATGTCTTTACACTATTTTCCTTTCATTTCAAAGGGTCACCAATGATCTTGGCACTCCCTCCAGCGACAGTCTCTTCACATTGGAACCCAGAGCCCTGAGCACCTGGTGGCTCCAGATGCAGCTGTTCCAACTGTTTACTACACAGCGTCTCTCTCTCTCTCTCTCTCTCTCTCTCTCTCTCTCTCTCTCTCTCTCTCTCTCTCACACACACACACACACACACACACACACGTCCACTGAAGGTCATAAAGCACCCCCATTTCAGGTAACTGTCCCCTGTCGCTGCCTCTATGAACACCTCAATATCCCCATTTACAATCAATATTTTAAGTGTGTCCTTAAATGGTATCAATAGCAATGGGGGGGTTCTGATTCCAGCTCAGATGTAGTTAATTGTTGCCACATCGATCTCCTCTGTAACACGATTCTTTCTCCAAATCAAACCCCCATTACAGAGGGGTGGAGGGCATCTTCTCCCCTCCTGCGACAATAAATTTAATATCGAATGTACTGGAAAAAAATGGCAGCTGTTGCAGAATCCATCCAAAAAGATTTTTTTTTCCCCGCTTCCTGGGAGTAATTAAAAGATGCTTTCCCTGACTAATGATCCCCCTGTTTAGGAACGGGAAGTCAATACCGCTTCAGCTGTCGTCAGCTCCGATTGATCACGATGCTGCTCAACTTTGAACGGCAGTTCTCAGGGCGGCTGAGGATCGCTGGAACCAATTATAGGCCATCCAGAGCTGCCCTAATAGGGGTGTGGGGACAACAGGCAGAAGGCCAGCCAGCTGTGCCAGGCGCCTGTTCTCCCAACCTGCCTGTGGTCCTGGATGATGCCAATGCATGGTTGTTTCAGGGGACTGGCTGTTTCTTTGCAGAAAGATACGCTGTGCGTGCGTGCGTGTGTGTGTGTGTGTGTGTGTGTGCGCGCGCGCGTGTGTGCATGTAAGCATGTCTATGCACATGTGTGTATATGTGTGTGTGTTGAGTATGTGGATGAGTGTGTGTGTGTGTGTGTGTGTGTGTGTGTGTGTGTGTGTGTGTGTGTTAGAGTGTGTGTATGTATAAGAGTGTTTTTTTATTTTTTTTATATGTATATATGTGCTGGGGTGTATAAACGTGTATGTGTCTGTGTGTTGGGGTATGAGTGCATATGTGTTTCTGTGCTGGAGAGTGAGTGTGTGTGTACATGTCTGTATATGAGCAGCACATTTTTAATTACATTCTGTAGTCAGAATAAATCTCCAGAATCACTTCAAAACAGATCCCAGTTCCCTGGGAAAACATTTGGGCCCTTGTTTCAAAGAGTAACATTTGAGTTATAAAATCAACATTTATAAAACATTTGAGTTTTCCTTGAACTAACATCAACATTTATAAAACTAGTCTTTTTAGGACTAGTTTCAGGCCCCCCAATGCTCTATTAAGTGGCCTCAATTCCTCATGGAGAAGGTAGGAAACCTGGGATGGGGTGGTGGGGAGACAGGGCATCTCGGATAGGCAGTAGCTAGACAAGGTATCAACTCTCTTAGGGCGAATTTCAGACTGATTCTAGCCCAGACTTCCAGGCTTTTGTTTCTGTTTGGGGAAAGGGTGGGAGGTGCTGAAGGCAGAAGGTGGCAGGAGCTCTACTGTACTATGTATGGACTGTGGAACTTCTCATTTATGCTGGTGTCTCTAAGGCTGGTAACCTTCTAGCTGGCCCTTATCATGGTCTGTCTAGGTCCTTTCCAATCACCCTGATGCTGACTTCAGTGTTCCCAGGAACAGATGGAATGTGGTCAAACACAATCACAGACTATTCATGACACCCAAATCCCTCTGGTATCAGCCACCCCAGCTCAAGAGCTTCCCAGAGAAAACTCATCCTTGTTTCTTGTTCTGAGGAGGTCCAGCCCTGCAGGAGGCATGCTGCTGGACATGCATGCTGCAGGTACAACCCGCCTGCCTGCCTTTGCTTAGGCTGCGTCATCCCCCCACGCCTCTCTCCTGGAAATCACCCGTGGCTGTGAATTTCCCAGACCCGGCGTCCTCAGCTGATCCATGATACCCATCCTTTCTTATGAGTGTTTAGTGAATATTTATTGAATTTAACCAGACAAAAAACTTCCTGGGATAATTTTACCAAAGACAAGAAAAGAAAGCCCCCAAATCTCATGCCTGTCTGAAAATCCAGAAATTCCAAAGTCACCTTCAAAGGTGCCATGGTCATCACGCTGTATCACTACAGCCTTTGGGAGTAGTCCTGGCTCAGAGGGGCTCTTGAGAATATCCATGGTGACCAAAGGTGAGAGGTTCAACCTCAGTCACCCTACTTGTGAGGGGGACGGCTCCTCCCACCTGTCTCTAAGCTGTAAAGGGTACAGTGCTGGGCAGAGCAGAAAGCCATAGTCCCAGAGCTCAGGGCAGAGAGCAGCCACTCACTGCTGGGTGCACTAAGACAACCACACATCAGCTTGTTGTTCTACATTCCAAGAGAATGGCAAGAAATTTTATCTCATGGCATTAAACATAGTCTATATGTTACTTTTAAGCCTAAATGGTCAAAATGCCCTAAGTTAATTTTTTTCTAACTAATTTCAATGTTTTTCTTCAGACATCAAACAATTTAACTGCCAATCACCATTTCATTTTCAGACTGGTATTCAACCACACTATGAAAAAAATAGATACTACAAAACAAATTCCTGTTTTATGATTGAGTGAAGAGCCCAGTTGACTTCCAAGGTGAGTGTTAAGTCAGGAAAGATAATAGTTTCTCAAAGGGTGGCGTTTCTTTGATTTGTGAGAAAAACCACCCCTAACTGTATTACACAGACTAACTCATACAAGGAGGAGCTGTCACAGCAAACCTATGGGGTTTTAACAAGCACTTTAAGCACCTTGCTGGCCCTCTATTCCTGACCCTCCCACCATGACTAACACAAACAGGATTAATGTATGCCGTCTCGCTCCAGATGTGCACCAGAGGGGTGGCCACAATTTCTTTGCAGTTAGTGAGTCAGCAAGTCAGCAAGTCTCACGAGATCACTGGCTAGGATCCTGGATGTGCAGCCTAACTCCTGGTTTATAGCTTCTCAGGCTCTGACTGTATCATCACCAGCAAAACAAACAAACTTCAGATGCTGAGCACAACAAATGCCTCTTCCTCCTGCTACTCTGAGAAACGAAGCAGAAGCAGCTTTGAGCCCCTGTGTCAGGGGGAGGGGCCAGTGGGCACACAGAGCACCCAGCACCCGAGTCCCTTGGATGTCCTTGGTTAGACTAACTGGATGAGCTTACTCCTCTGCTACTAAGGAATGGGACTTCTTTGAAAATGGGCCATTTCAGCCACCTCTTGGGGGAATTAAATATGTATGCATATCCTCAAAAATGGTTTATAATCGCTGTGAATGAAAAATGAGAAACTAAATGGCCTCAAAATAAATTCGTTTTTTATCCTGGGTAACAATTAGCATTAATGAGGAGTCTCCACACATTATGCTTAACTGTACTTAATTAATTGTGTTAGAAGTATATTTTAGTAAATAAAATACATTTTTTAAATCATAAACTCACTTGTTGGCAGGGGCAGGTGAGGGGGTTGGTTACCCACAAGATGCTTACCAAGGTTGTACAAAAGAACACAAAACCAAAGAATCAAAAATTTATAATTAGTGTTAGCACAGCTTGTGCCTATTAGAAATATATTAATTAAAGTAATATATTCATAAGATTAGAAGCCTAATACATTTCCAAGAGGGGAGAGGAATCCCCAAGGCCTAAAAATAAACATAAAAAATTCAGGAGTTTGAATCATCCAGTCTGCTCCAGACCAATTTCAAATACGATGCTTTCAGACTAGGCTGATCAACATTCCTGTAGGTTGCCAGGGCCACTGCGGCAGCTGCCTCCGAGGTCATGCCCAGCTGTGTAGCTGCTGGTGGAGCACCTGAGCATTCCTACCTTGTGGAGTCCAATGAGGGTTTTGTCCGTCCTTGGCTGCTTTCTTCCCACACGCTGTTGGCCAACTCATTCCCGATGGATGACATCACCTTGATCAGCTCCATGGGCCAGTCATCAAGATCTAGAGACCGGACCCGAGACAGATGGGTGCCAAGATTCCGGTGGATCCCTGAGCACTCGATGCACATGAGGGCTCCCAAGTTCAGACTGGCCCAGTTAGGGTCTACAGGAAGAGAAACAGGAGTTAATTTCAGCCAGACCGCCACCATTCGTTCTCAGTGTTCCTGGACTCTCAGGGACAACTGACCAGGCATTCAGTCAGTCCCCAGGCACATGACTTAGGGATGTTCTTGGTGACAGGGAAAATATGGTACGTTGCTGGCAGCTGTTCCAAATCTAGAGTTCCCCTCAACTAGTGTTCACTTGGACAGAGATACCTCTTCTAGTACTTTAGCAGCATCGTTCAGAGCTGGGGACACATCAGACAAAAAAGTCATGTCCACTGTGGACCACTGATGATGGAGCGAGAAGCAGAGACAAGGTCATGTCAGGAGGCGGCGTTGGCCCTTATAACCCCTTCTGCTACTGTTAGAGCAGCGTGGTTGGGTTAGCAAATTTCAAAGATGGGAGAGGCACACTCCTGTGAGAAGGTGTGGTCTTACTTAAGGGTACCCATTGCAGCAACCCTCTGGGTTCCATGGTTACTGGCAAGTGAATGGGCAAGTAATATAGCTATATCAGGACCCAGTTCCCTTGACCCCCTCGACCTTGAGTTGAGGAGTGATCGGTGTATATTTTAAGCTGGACTAACAGGACAAGGATACAGTTCTGTAGGATGATGGGCTTGTATAAAGAATGGCCTTGGGGGCCCTGGGACATTTGCCATTGTGTGATGATATGGTCCCAAGGCTGGCTTTGAGCTTACAATCTCTAGGTGTTTTGCAAAGGCAGGCCAAACTTGATGAGCACTGCTTCTCATTGCTATCAGAAGAGAGGCTAAACTCACACAGGTCGAAATGGCATCTATTCAAGTCTACTAGAAGAGCCAGCAAAAACTGATCTAACCAACTGGGGAGATTTCCTGGTCTCTCTACAGAGAAGATGACCATTGAAGATTGAATAATGGTTAGTCAAATGTCAGCAAGTCCCTTATTAAACATCAGCACAACTCAAGAAGGTGGCTGACTGATATCTCAGAGGAGGCCCTGGAAGAGAGGCCTATTATCTCAGAGATGTTCTGAAGGGAAGGCCTCAAACAGAAGCACAGAGAACAGGGTACAGAACCATACAGCCTACAGGTGAAGACAAGAAAGGATTACGTTAGGCAGCAGCAGATGACCGTGTTTGGATATGAAATGTCTCCCTCAGGCTCACACTTTTGAACACTTGGTCTCCAGTAGGTGGAGCTGCTTTGGGTGGGTGTGAAACCTTCTGTAGGGCGGGACCTAGGTGGAAGAAGTGAGTCTCTAGTGGGACAAGCCTTGAGGTTTGGAGCTTAGCCCTACTTCCTGTTGTCTGTGCATCCTGATCCATGGAGACATGAACAAACAGTTGGCCCAAAAGAGGACCCCCACCCCCATCACATGACAGACTCTAGCTCCTCAAACTGAAGTCAAAATGGACTGCCTTTCCTATATTGCTTCTTGTCAGGTATCTAGTGGTCACAGAGATGAGCAGAGCAATGAGTGGGGACAGCATGGAAGACAGCATGGATGCAGGCTGGACTCAGCAAGGCTCTCGCCTGGTGTCTGCAACCCTCAGAGCTTGGTTGTTGTTCTGCTGCCGTCCCCTTAGACAGGGCTGTCATAGCTGCCGGCCACCTCCATGGCTACAACCCTTCAGCCCATTGTTGACCTCTTGTCCACTGCCCATTTCCTGATGCTGAACTCAGAAGCAGTTGAAGTTAAATGTCTCTTTGGGGTTTTCTCCCTGGTTTTAGCCTTTTCTCCAGCATTTACCCCTCATATTGGCCCTCACCTTGGCTCCTGTAATGTCTTCTCTTCCGATGCCATTCTCTCTTCCTGGCAAACCCAGGAAGAGACTCTGGCTTTTGTGATAACCCAAACTATAACAACTGTCAATAGCTGTTACCCTTCCTTGCTTACCAGCTGGAACATTGTGCACAGACCTCCTGGACATCAGTTGCCCCGATGATGGTTTCTTCTATCAGGGTTCTTACTACCTCTCAATGTCACCAGTGTTCTCTCAGGACCTGGGGAGTCAACCTTCATTCTTCCATCATCCCCATAGATACTCTCTCCAATTCAACCCTTTCTCCTTGATCTGAGTCCCCACTCTTGTCCTTACTATCTCCACACATTATGGTGGGACTGTCAAAGCTCAGGTCTGTACGTTCACATCCCAATCCTAGCAGGACACCCCCCAACAGCAGCCATGAAATGGGGCAGGCCCAATCATGGAACTTGGAGACTTAAAACCTGCTTCTGCTATCACACGCCACTGGGATCAAGTCCGAAGTCTTTGCAGACAGGATTAGAACTGAGCCCCACTCCCTTTCCCCTGCCTCATGTGAGACACTGGCTGCCTCCACCCATCTGTGCACAACACTGCCTGGCATGCGGCTCTCCCTTCCATCTCAGGTAGAATTACCTTCCCCGAGGACAGCTCCCTTGGCCACCTACCAGTGTAATAAGGTGATATCACAGACCCTGTTGTGTGCTTTGGGCAGCGAGTGGTGTGTCCATACTTCCTGTCAGCTATGGGCATTAGAGGCTGTGACAACACATTATATCTGGGCGAATACGGAGCAGCCTCGCTATAGCAGAGCCCATATCTAAGGGACTGAGGGATGGTAGAAGGCAAGGAGGGTGGGTGAGACAAGATTTACTAGGAACCAACAGGGCTCCAGCCTGACTGCATGGGCAGCACTGGCAATGACAGAGCTTCATGAACCGGGAGTCAGAGGCTGCTGGGCTACCTCTCAGCCTTGTCAGGAAGGTCTGGCATACTGGTGAGGTCCCCGTGTGCTTGTGTGTGTCTGTGTGTCCAAGCTCTGGGATTCCCAGCTCCTTTTCTGGGCAACTGGTACCCCAACAGAGATTTCCACTGTCAGTGGGTTTTTGAAAGCTGGGCTGGGCCAGGCTGCAAGCTCCCTCTAGGGCAAAATTCTCATATAGTGATGGTCCTTGGCCTGAGATGTGAACACCATTGACTTTTCCAAACTCACTGGACCAGAATCTCTCTTTATAGACAAGAAGTCCACAGCCAAGGTGGCCCTGTGTCCTCTTTGGGAACTATGTCCTGGGACGGGCTGAGTGTGCAGAGGAGACACTTGGTGACCCGCAGCAACTGTGGCCTCAGATTCCACATTGTACTGAAATACTCGGGCCTTACCCTCAACACCCAGAGGGTGACCCACATGCAATGATGGACCAGCGAGACTCTCTAGGTGGGGCTTTACCCAGAGTCACACTGTCTGTTACACCGCCAACAGATGTCACCCTTTAGGTGAGGGATGGCTCTGATTTCAGTCCCCAGAGTCCTGGAGAGGGGATACCTTTAAAGTTGGTGTCTGCGCCTTTCTTGTACAGACCTCCTTCCTTCCCACTGGGATCCTTCCTAAAGGGACTGCTACAGTCACAGGCTCTTACTCACACTGCCCTGGCACCCTGTGAACATGCTCACATCTCATTTCTTGTACAGACCTCCTTCCTAAAGGGACTGCTACAGTCAGAGGCTCTTACTCACACTGCCCTGGCACCCTGTGAACATGCTCACATCTCATTGCCAGGGTGGGCTACGAGCATCTGTTTCCCGGACTTTGCACCACGCTGGATATTTAGACTTCAAATTCCTCACTGCTTCCTCATGAACTTCTTTTACATGACTCTCCAAGCACCTTAGGGCCTCCGAGGAAGCAACAGGCTGGTGAAGGGTATGGGCTGAATCTCACAGTACTGCTTGCTACCTCAGTGACCTGGACAAACCACTGTGGTCCCCGACTCTTCCTTCCCTTCCTGTCAATGGGCCCATGACAATACCAACTGTCACTCTTGAGAATTCAAGAATACAACCCATGTGGACTGGATTCAGCATACTTGGTGAATGGCCTTCAAACCTCTGTTTCTGAAGCTTCCAACTCTGTCTTTACCATTGCTGTCCCATTTGCTCCTGTGGCTTTGTCTATAGTCTGGTCTCATGGCCTCCCCCTCCTGCCCACCCTTAGCATGCATATGCCCAGCTCCTCTAAGGAAGGACCTGTGACCTCCAATTTGCCACATGCCACAGTTCCTGTAAAGCCACAGACTGGTTCCCTTTTGAGGAATCTCTAGCTGCACTCTGGAAACAATTACAGACATCAATCTCTTGATTTTTTTTTTTTTAAATATGTCTCAGGTTTTATGCTTTAAAAAAAGTTTGCTTTAAGGAAAGTTTTGGATAAAAAACACACTTCAAATAAATGTTCTTTTCTCCCCATCTCACGTTTTGAAAGTAAAATGTAAAGATGCAAACAAAGAGAGAGACTTTAAAGCAGTGCCCAGAGGAGTCAGGGGAAGAGCTTGCCCTGCCTGCCCTGAGGATGGGCTCCTGCTGGGTTGTGGTCAGCCAGGCTGCCTGGACAACCTGCTGGCCAGGGCCCTCCATGTCTCGAGAGATGATGCTCACGATCCATCTGCAGGTCTCTGACCCACTCTGCTGTTCTTGTCTCAGATGGTTGGTGCGGTCAGGCAGTCCTCCCCCACCAAACATCTCAGAATCTGTTCCTGCTGTGAGATGTGGGCAGTTCACCCCCACCCACAGATGCGTAAAGACCTCAACACCCCAAGTGTCTCCACCATCTCCATCGGTTCCAGCCTGAGTTGCCATGCATTTTCTTGGCTCACCCAGGGAGGCCTCCCCTGGGGCTGCAGCTTCCAGTCACATTGTTTTCTCACTCTCCACTCTTCCTCAGAGCCCTTCTGACAAGTCAACTCTGGAGGGAGGCTTGCTTTGAGGTTGAAGATCTCAAAGACCTAGGTCCCTTTTGCTCCTTCCCCAAGGCTGTAGACCATGTGTCATGGGTGGGGCTTATGCCTTGCCCACTGAGCCCACTGGGCTGTGACCAACAACACAGGTGTGTTCAGTTCCCAGCTATCCCTCACCTGAGCCAGCACCTCCTGTTTGAACTGCATTCCCCTCACTAACTTCCGCACCCACACCCTACGTAACAATCCAAATGAGCAAAGTTCACTTAACATGCAAGGCTTTATCTACCCCCCAGATATAAGAAGGAAATTTCACCCTAAAGAGGAATATTACCTTTTATACAACAGAAAGTATGACCTATTGGGGTTACTCCAAGGGATGCAGTAATTACAGTTTCAGTCCTTCACCCATTGTGATGCCTGAGGCTTAAGCAGGGCACACAGCAGTCCAATGTATAAGAAATGGCACACTTCCACCAATAAGGCTGTGTGAAGGACACCATGTTCAAACAAAACCCAAATTCAAGTATGTCAAGCCTTCAATGCCATAGCTGATACAAATCTAGGGGCATGGTCAGCCCCGTGTACTTACTTTGGGCATCACAGTCCACACAGTGCGAGTTCCCTCTCATGTTACGGATGGACTGCAGTGCCATGGCCTCGCTCTGGCTGGTTAGTCGGGACTAGGCACAAAGAAGACAGAAAATGCAAGATATGAGTAGCTAGGAGAAATCCACACATCCTCTAAGTGTCAGAGAAAAAAACAAATAGATTATGCACAGGTGCAGCTGTGTGCAATTTCCAAACAATGACTCCCTTTCTGATGTCTTAGGGAAGTTACTGAGGGAGAGCGATAGGTCGTATGTCAGGATTATTGGCTAAGATGGACTCTGTCCAAAATGAGCCAAGTGGTCAGACCTCCATCATTTGTGAATGAATCAGAGACTGCTACTTGGAGAATGTAGCTGGCTAATATACCTTCATGGGCATATAGCATACAGCTACTTGGTATGAAGATTAAAGGGTGAGGAGAAAATAATCTGTGTATCAGCCAAGGGTCAGGCCTTAATCAGCGTGCGTACAGCTGTCTCCTGGTTCTTCATCAGAAAATCGCCAACCACACAGCACATCACAGCCAGGAGAGTCTCTCCCTCATGTGAGGATCCCTCAGTTGCTACCGAATCAGTCACTCATCGGAGAGAGGCAGGGGCATTCATTCTTAAGCATACTTTATGGTCCTCAGAAGAGATTTTTCTTTTTTAAAGGTTCACCTATTGCAGCAACATTAGAAAATATGGGAAAAGACAGGAGCATTTATAAACTAGGATTTGGTCGCTCAGAGACCTCTGGCTGTTTTTCTGTGCACACCTGTACACACAGGCATTGCAGGAAAGCCAGATGGGTAGGTATATATTGCTTTGGAGCTTGCCTTCCCTGCCTAGTAATACCATTTTATGTCAACAGAGCCTCCAACTTCATCATTTAAATGCATGCATAGGAGTCCCCTTAGTGAGTAAATAGCAAGTTCCTTGGCTATGTATTCAGACTGCTCTAGGCATCCTCAACCCTGGACAGTGCTGCAAAGAACATGCTTCCTGTAAGTCTCTACACACATGCCAGACTATGTAGCAAGGATGAAATCCCAGAAGCAAAGGGGCAGAGGGGGAGAGGATATGAATATTTTAAAAGGTTTATTTAATCAACAACCATTTGATATTATAGTTAAAGTAAAAGTTGATCAGTTTCATAACTTAGAATAAATTCTGTTCCATGTTCAAATTCTTCACAAATTGAGGTATCTTGTGCTAAACAGACAGATATGAAACAATTTATTGCTTGCTACTTTGTAACAGTAAGTTATCATTTATTTATTCTCTCGTTTAATCAGCATTATGTACTACTGTGTTTTTATTTTCTTTAGGAATCAGAAAACACTTAACAACTCAAATTGGCATCTAGGGGTGCCACACACGCGGAGAGGTCTAGCTATCTCCCCGTTTCTTTCTCCATGTATCTGTACAGGTCTGTGACTCTCTGGTTGTTTGCTCTGTCTATCTTTCTGGGTCAGCTCTGGGTTATCCACCAAGAGCTGAAATACTAGGTACTTCTCTAACAGCAGCTGTCCAGGATTGTGTCTAGCGTCCTTCAGTTGCTCAAGGGAACCTCCTCCCAGGGGAAGCCATGTCCATAAGTATGTTTTCCCATGAATACAGAGGACAGCTTTGGTGGGCTAGCATTGGCCTCTGGTCCATGGCATCCTACTGTCTGGATTCAGAGTAGTAAACAAGGAAGAAGCTCTCAAGGAACTGAAATTGGAGAAGCCAACGCTAGCCAAAGTTTCTGGAATAAAGAAGGGGCGTGGCTCTAGTAGGAATGTGTGAGATTAATTTCTCCATCAATACCGGGTATGTGCTTGTCTGACCAGCAGCATGTGTCCCCTTCCCTGCTCTGAAATTAGAATTCCAAGCCTATGGATGGCAGGTGTCATTGTGCCCATGGGTGAGGTGGAGAGGGATATGCCCTGAGAATCCAGAGAGCTGCAAATAAGACAGTGGTTCTTCCCAGTTGGATATATATAAACTGTCTTCCAAGAGAGAGGCAAATTACATAATAATAATAATAATAATAATAATAATAATAATAATAATAATGGCTGTGGTCTGGTTTACTCTGGTTCAAGAGAATAATAAAATAACACACCCCGTCTCTCTGAAAAACAGACTCCCCTCTTAATGACAAAGCTGGCCACACATCACGGGCAGAGCTTTCTTTAAATGCTTATAAATGAAGCTGCAGGTGATGGCAATGTCTTTCTTCAGTTTCCAGTCGATCACAGTTTGAAAAATCAAAATGCTCACCAAGAATCTCAATGGGTCAGCAAAGGGTTCTGCGTATCTAAGGGTTCAAAGACTGAGATGGAAAGAACCCGGCTGGGAAAGACAGGGCCAGCATAAGGAAGATCGCCGAGCAGTGGCCCAGAAAATGCAGTGAACACACTTTTATTTCTGGCCAAACAACTGCTGGAGAACTCTTTTTAATTACTGAATGAAACATACGCCAGACTTTAAAAAAACAGAAAATTCACCTTGCCCAAACTCTATCTCCTTTGCGTTTCGTTTGTATCCCTATGACATTTGAGACATTTATGAGGGCAGAATAGGGCATCTTTTAAGTCTATGTGTCTTTTTCTGATTCATTCTGCCTCAAACAATAACAACAAAAAAATAAGTATGGACGCATAAGCAGGCAGAGTCCAAAGGCTCCATCACCTACAGAGAGAGGCGAAAGCTTCCCACGTAGCGCTGGCTGCCACAGCAAAGGCTTCATGTTGGACATCCTGCCACACACAGACGGCCAAGCCAGGACACCAACACATGCATGGTGTTTGTAGATACAAAGTGGTTTTATCTTTTCAATTACTTAGTTTTTTTTCTCCTCACAAAGCATACCTGGGTCTTGTCATCCACACAAGCCATCTGACGCCCCTGTCCCCCCACCTGGGGCTCCACTTGGGCCTTCTTTTCCATTTAATGATCAGCAGCCTTGATTTTGGGGCAGCCTGCTGAGGGCCTTACCTTATTCTTGCTGCTCTCGCAGGACTGGAGGCTGGCTAGGATCTGGCTCTCGATGGCTTGGACCCATGCGTCTCGCTCCTCGTATGTGGTGGCTTCAAAGTGCCATGTCTGGCCAGTGAGGGACACAATGATAAACTCAAAGTTTTCTTCTTGCTCTGGAACAGAGAGGTGGGATGAAGAGCTCACTTTCATGAGACAGCAGCGCCTGGGCCCATCCTGTCACGAGTGCCTCTGGATTCAAGGGCACCGGCATGGGGCTGGCAGCACACACAGGATGGGAGCGCTGAGATCTGATCCACACACCCGCCAACACTCCAGACCGGCTTCCAAAAGCCAGCAGCGGAAACTAGGTTTCGATCAATGCTTGGGGGGACAGGGAGAAAGGAGAGACAGCGTGGGATGTCAGGGTCTCTGTGTGGGCGCAGACCAAGCAACTTAGGAAAATAAGTTTGCAACTTACTGCTGGCCCTTGGATGTGTGGGAGGAAAATGGAGTTAGTTCTGCTAGACGTGAGGCTGGACAATGGAAGCATTGAGTAAGGCTCTGGGTGAGCTGCACTGGGAACAACAAGGTGGGCGTCCATCCAGGGCCGCGCAAATGTCAGCAGGAGCCTGAATTCTCACAGTGCTGAGACCTGGACAAAGTGACTCCAAGCAACTCAGAGGGCTTTAGTGCACACCGGTCTGTCTGGGTGGACAC